TGTAACTCCCGTCTGATACAGCTGTGAAGTAGTCAGTCAGCTTTCTGGACCCAGTAAGAAGTGTCACCCCGCCCCGACCACAATTAATTCTATGGAAACTGTGAAGAAGTTGTATTTCTGACATAGGCGAATGATTTTGCTCTGAGGTGCCTCCTTGTTCTCTAACGTCCGGATCAGTGTAACCGCTACTAGTTACCCGTGCCGATACATGCATGCAACAGAACTATTGTGATCGGAACATTCATCGGATGAGCTAAAACCAAGCACTGTTTATATTTACTCATAATATTTTGTTTCACTTCAATGATGGAATACTTTGGCAGAAGGACGGGGTGACAGTGGGGTCCAGCATATTTGAACGTATTCACGCGACGCTAGAGTTTTACGTTCGTTCAGTTATTTGTGCAAAAGAAGGCCGCCTGGAACGGACAATACAAACATTTTCATAGTTCATGTGTGAACCAGTGAGATTATCAACTGTCCTAATGGTGCCATTATGAATGATTATGAAACAAGCTTAATCACCACGTTCTGTTTTTCCCAGAGTGTGTTCTGTCAAACTTTTCTAACAGTTAAAATAAAATTACATGGTGAATGTTCAGATTAGCTCATTCGATTTTTCACAGGCACCAAGCACTGTTGATGATGTTGGTTGTGGATTTCACTCCTTGGGAAGTCGTTAGTTCCCCACTGTTTATATGCATTTAAATGCCCAACCGGAAGAATTGCGTTTCGAGTCCTGACAGGGACACAAAACTTACACACTGCTGACGAGTCCCACACCGGACAAAACAGCTGTCCAGTGCTCGCTCTTTGTTGGTTATCGCAAACATTTCCATCCTATTTAAAATAGAATTAGTTGTCATAATTGGTTCCCTCAATTGGCTTCCGTTTCGTTTCGATTTAACACAACCATTTATCACATACATCAATTCCATTGCTCATGTCATTTCGCGCGCGTTCAGTGCTGAGGAAAGTGTGCTAACCCTCTGGGGTAGAGAAGTTAATTGCTAAAATTTACTCGTGACTATCGTGTTAAGAAGCGACACAGTGTTATTGTGGTTGTGGTTCTTTTTCCACATGTCCTCACTATCACTTATGCTTTTTCGTTGTAACACCTCTTCTGTGCGCAGGTTGTTGGCATTCGGAGTGGTGTACGAAATTCGTCTGGTCGCTTTCATACTGACAGTGCTCAGCCTGTTCGGATCGTTTCTCATGATACATTTGTGCTGCCAATTTTCCTTACTGGAATCGGAATACTGATTGACTCTGCTGAGTATTGTGTATCATAGTCCCTCTCCGCCCCCAGTCCCGCCTCCCCACATCCGATCTCATCCCGTGTACCTGTATATGTGCCTGGTGTAAATATAAGCTTTTGCAGACTTACTTTAAATCATAAGTGCTCTGTTGTTCTATATCCATCGACCGTTCAACTAGACGTTCACTAGACTTCATGATGGTTTGTACTCAGGTTATGGAATGCGAACAATCTCGTATAAATTCTGGGTTTTTCATATGGAATGAAAGTAGTCCAACTACTCGATTGCCACTTGTTTTCTTAGCCGCTTAATTCTGAGGACATTCAGTGAGTGACCTTTATCCCATGAACTTAAAGTTGTTCAATAGGAAAACTGTATTATGGATTCTGGGAAAGAGTCGAATCGCATAATGCCAAAACGGGTCAGTCGCGAACAGATTCCCTCTAGGTAGGGTTTCGTACGGTGATCGTTAGCAATGCTCGAGGACACGACGGGTTTTCGCCGAGTTCATGATGTGACTGAATCCATGGATGCGTCCACATAATCCATAACCTACCTAATCTAACTTCGGACCCACTGTGTCACCAATATCAAATGGTCTCATGAAACTCTCTCTCCTTGAAAGTAATTTTATAGTTATATTTGCCACGGATCCCCTGTACAATCTGTTCATCTCTCTCTCGTTGTGGAGTGGACTGGAAGAGTCCTGATACCCTCGGGTTAAGCAGAGCTGAATCCTACCAGGTGCACCCTCAAAATAAAAAATGCCGAATGATGCTGGGGACGTCTCTCGTACCAAACTCCCAAGGAACTTCATGATCATGTCAGGAGCCGGCTTATCCTTTCCAAGGAGCCAGCCGCAGTAAAGTACAGTAAGTACTGGAAGAGTGCAAATGTCTATCTTGCCAATGGATCCAGCCATTTGCTCAGGAATTTAGAATTTTTTGTTTTAAGGAAATGAATAACTATGTATACAATCAAGTAGATGCTTAACTAGGTAAGCAACAAAGCCAAGAAGTGATTATTTACAAACTCCGGTCATTCGAAATGTCGCCATAAGATGAACGGAAACTTTGTTTACACTGTAGGTTATAAGCTTTTATCAAGCGGTATCTGTTACGATAATAGAACTGAAGATTTTGGAAATGAACTTCGTGGTTGAGCACAAGCATTCAGTAACACCGTATTCGATTTCTTGGTTGGACTAAAAAAATGGTGTGCTTTGAACCGTATGGTCCGAGTTTCTAGCTCTACCACCACCTAACTTTGGTGGTATGCAGCTTTGATGTAGTCCGGTTCAATACCACACTTTACCTAGCACAACCACGTGCAGCTCGTCACTTCCAGTCCCGGGGCCTAGGTTCCCATCACTGAACATTAGGTCCTCGTGACTATGGGTTTCACCCGGTCTGCTGTTCATCACACTTAGGTGTGTAATACAAAAACCACCCAACTTTCATACATAGAATCAGACTGAATTATATGGGAAAAAGATCCGCGTGCATTCTCCTATGTTCACGCTGCGGAGTCCACTGCGTGGTGCGCCCATTGACACAAGATGGGATGTAGATTTGCGCGCTTGAACACGGTCCAATGGAAAACGACATTCGCTTTCAATGGACTAGTCCATCACATGACATTGCA